TTCAGCTCTCAAACCTGGCCAGCCATAACCCCCGACCTTAGCTCCCTGCCTCGACAACATCCTGATATAGGAACCCTGGGTCCTTATTAGGGTTTAGGGTTTAGGGTTTAGGGTCTAGGGTTTAGGGTTTAGGGTTTAGGGTCTAGGGTTTTAGGTTTAGGGTTTAGGGTTTAGGCTGCTTATTAGGGTTCTTGATATGAAGCCTAATATATTGGGGTTCATATATAGGGCCGGAATTTCTTAATCAGGTTCCCACATTAAACGCCATCCCACAAAAGCCCCGACCCCAAACAAGCCTGAACCCCAAGGTCGGTGGCAAGATGGCTATACCCATAGGCCCCAAAGTAGTTCCTTTCTGGGATTACCTAATAGGATCCTAAAGAGGGGCCACCAAAAGGAACTACTATGGGGCCTATGGGTAGCCTTCTTTATAGACAGACAGAAGCCATGATTAAACAATAACTACACACATGAAACCCAACAAAATAGGCTTCTAGAATCCTTCCAGGCCTATAACCCTAAGCCAAAACCCAAAACCCAAAACCCTAAAACCCTAAAACCCTAAACCCTAAACCCTGAACCCTAAAACCTAAACCCTAAACCATAAGACTTTAGACTGTTGTTCCCCTGCGGGCTCCTGGGAGCCCGGTGCTGCGAGGTGGGCGTGGTTCAGCGTTCCACCGCTTGACTGGCCCATGAGCCTTCCAGCTTAATGTAGGGTCTTTAATAATTAGAATAGGGCTGAGGGGCCCATTATGCTATACATGCAATAAGGAACCCCAAATACTATAGGTAACTATTCAGGCCCCTATTTTACTTACTTTGGGGTTTGGGGATTCTGGTCTGGGGTTGAGGGATTGCTTTGGGGTTTAGGGGTTAGGGTTTCAATGGTTTTTCTCAAGGGCCCCCATTCCGGCAAAAAACCTCTGAAGATCAGACGGGCTTCAAGCCTGAACCCTTGTAGTAGGCCTTATAGACCCCTATAAGGAACCCTTTAAAGGAGCCCCAAAACCCTATCCCAATTATTAAGGCTATTAAGGCCCTAGCTCACAACAAAGAAGAAGAACACTGACAAGGCCGCCAGTGACCTCGAAAGAACCAATCAACTTGTCCTCGAGGACAAAATTTCACCTACAGAGCTTACAGGACCAAACCTACGCAGCATGAGGCCACTGGGGGGCTTCTGAATATGAAGGGGGCCTTCTCGGGAGGGTTCTGGAAAAGGCCCGAACACAGAGGCCAGGGTGTTGGGGTTGACAGTCTAGCCTGACTAAACATCTCGTACTTGAATTAACCTGAAATGCTTTGACTGACTCCAGCGCACACCTACATTAACTCTGTTTCTGCCCCAGGAACGTGACGTTGCTGGCATCGCCGCCGAACCTGGGGTCGGGCCATGGGTGGTGTTTGGGTTTGTGACATGTTCAGGTTAGGGTTTGGGGTTTAGGGTTTGGGGTTTAGGGTTTGGGGTTTAGGGTATAGGGTTTAGGGTTTAGGGTTCAGGTTCGGAGCTTTGGGGGCAGAAGTATGACACGCGGGGCTGCCCGGCTTTCGCGCATGGCTTAACTCCATAGACCTTAAACCCTATGCCTACATATCCTTAAAGCCCTCTAATTACACCCTAAACCTAAACCCTGAAGGTTGTTGGCTCCAGGCGTCTTGGCTCATTGCTCCTGGGAACTCATCTAGGTGGGACTCTTGGTCCATGCCCTGAACTTTCGGTTTAGGGTCTACCTGTAGTCTCCATTGTAGTTCCTTCTTGGGGATACCTTATAGAGTCCTTAATGTATAATTGGTTAACCCAAAAAAAAGGAACTACCATGGAGACTATAGGTAGGGTTTAGGGTTCGGCTTCGGGGGTTGGGAACTACTAGGAGTCAGGGTCTAAAGTGTCAGGAGGTTAAGGATTTATGGTTTCGGGTGTCGAGATTGTAATAATGACTGAGGGTGTATATAGGGTGTCAGGATTACACAAAGGTTCAGGGTTCAGAGTTTCAGGATTGACAGCATTTAGGAAAACCCTTTTCATCAGGAAGGCTTTTGGTTTCGCGCTTGTAGTGCAGCCGGCCTTCCAAACCCGACTGTTGAATACATAAGAGTCCTGGCCCTGCACAACTGAAGCACGATGCAAATTTCACAAGCGAAGTTCCTGAACCTTAGTCAAACTAAGACTGTTCAGGGTTTAGGCTATTCAGGGTTTAGGGTTTAGGGTTTAGGGTATTACGGCGGAGCCGTTCGGGATTTGGGTACTGCGGCCGTAGAGCGCAGCGACATGCTCCTGGACCCAGCGTAGGCAGAGCTGGTAATCGAGGAAGCCATAATTGCCGCTCACGCCTGTGGTCTCTCGTTTTGGAGATTCTGTAAGCTCATCGTCGACATGCTACGACAACCGTTATTGTTGACAGGTAGTATAGCCCTACATGCACGAAAACCTACCCGCCAAAAGCAAAGTCGGCCCATTTCAGGAAGCTGCTGCTAGTAGGACTGGGAATCGCCTTAACCTCGACATTCATGCGCAAACGGCGCGAGAATTACAAGATGGAATCAGTTTAGGTCTGGGCAGGGAGCTCTAAACCCTCGCTCAGGATCCCGTGGTCCCTGAGCCAACTTCAGCCCCACGACTTCGATCACCGGTTCCGGTATTGATATCTACCCATCTTGCCAAAAACATTAAAGCGAACAGCCGTGAACATTCCTGCAAGCTCTAGAGCATCATCATACCGCCGATAAGAGCAACCTTCTCCTAGCCCAAGCCCAAAACCCTCTTCAAACCCGAAACCAACAAAGCATGTAAAACACAAAACCCTGACCACCACTAAGAGCAGATCTCAACAACTACTTGCAGTCCCCATATACTGAGGCTATATTGCAAGTTATCCAAAAGCGCTACTCTGCCTTGTAAGGCCCTTAAGGCGTCTAAGTATAAAGGAGCACCCCCAAACACCCTAAACCCTGTACCCTAAAACCCTATAAGATACTATAAGAGCCCGGTAAAAGAGCACCCCCAAAGGCAACCTCGAGGATCTCTCGCTGAGAATTCCGGCAAGGCCATAAAGCCTGGGTTTCTAGCTTTTGGTTCTCAGGGCTTTACTTAGGGTTTAAGGTTTCAGGGTTTAAGGGTTTAAGGGTTTAGGGAGTTTAGTGAGTTTACCTTAGGGTTTAAGTCTTTTTCAGGAGTTTAGGGTTTAGGGGCTCTGGCTTTTGGTTCTCAGGGCTTTACTTAGGGTTTAGAGGTTCTGGCTTTGGGTATCAGGGCTGAACTTAGGGTTTAGGGGCACACTGACGTAAAGGAAAAGGGGGCCTTAGACAACAGAATGGATTCCTTTACGGGGTTCCTCTAAAGGGGGCTCGACAAGGGCTCGGGTTTAGGGTTTAGGGTTTAGGGTTTAGGGTTTAGTCTGCTATAGGGGTCTTAGCGATTAGAATAGGGTTTGGGGGTATGTTCAAGAATAAAACTGTAGTAAGGAGCCCTATATGAGGAATAGTATTGGCAATCATTCCGGCCCCCGAATTTGGGCTTCTGGTTCACGTCGCGCGAGATCAACATACAAAAGCAACTTTGTGGAATGATCGAGTTTGAATGAACTCAGGGTTGGGCTCAACGAAACGGCTTCCTTACTCATACTGCCCCGACGGCTGTTCGGGCTGACTCCTAAGTAAACTCTTCTGCTCAGCAACAAAACCAGAGAAGCTCAACAGCTTGAGACCAAAGCCGGGAACCATACAGATTTTTGAAAACACGAACCAATAAAACCCTGTAAACCCTAAAGTCCTAATAGCTAGACTCTGATTGCCTTTGCATCCGCCGAAGCCAACCTCTGAAGCCAAGTCAGAATCGTAGACCTTGAACCCTGGCAGCAGTCGTCGGAGAGTCACGACCCTCGTGGTGGTCGTAGTAGCAGCAGGAAGAAAACCAATGCGAATTAAATCGCAGCCATGGGTAATACTACCAGAGACGTCAACATGTGCTTTGGTGGTTGTTGTTGGTGTTGTTGCTGTTGTTGGCTTGGTGGTCGTGCTGCTGCTGCTGCTGTTGTTGCTGCTGGCGGTGCGGTGGAGCAGCGCAGAAATGTGCAGAACAACGCTCCTGCAAAACCCCTCACTGTTGAGGCTCAAGCCAGGACACCCTTCTAAACCCGAAGCCCTAAACCCCAAGCCGGAATCAAACCCTAAACCCTAAACCCAAAGCCCTAAACCCTGTGTGTTTCGCCTTCCCTGTGCCGCTCCGAGACCTAGTGACCCGAGGCGGTGCTGACCTTGGGTTCACTCAGAAAGGATTAAGCTTTAGGCTTAGGGTCTGGGGTTTAGGGCTTAGGGCTGTTCATAGGGATGCTTTGCTGTTTGATGATGCTCCTGATGCTAGCTGTTTTTCCATGACGCATGTGACTACAAGGCTAGCGAACGAAAGCCGAGACACCACAACCCCATCGGATGCTAGCTCTACCTCATGGGCCGTTATCGTGCCGGCGAAGAACGAGGAGGTCATTAGTACTGGGACCATGCAAGAAGACCCGCTCCATATTCAAGATGTACCGGGTTGTGTATCCAAGAGGGTCTGTCTCCATGTCTGTCTCCGTCTCGGTCTCTCTTTCTCTCTCGCTCCCCTCCGTCCCTCTGTCTCTTGGTCTCTCGCCCTCTCTCTCTCTCTCTCTCTCTCTCTCTCTCTCTCTCTCTCTCTATCAGACCCACG